TTTTCTTCTACTAATTTTGGGTTCAGTTTGAGCTTATATTTCTATTTTTTTAAGATGCATCATAAGATTATTTGAAGGTGTTTCTCTTTTTTAATGTAGGCACTTATAGCTATAAACTTCCCTCTTAATACTGCTTTTGCTGTATCCAATAGGTTTTGGTGTGTTGTGTTTCCATTATCATTTATTTTGAGACATTTTTCAATTTACTTTTTAATTTCTTCATTGACCTGCAGGTCATTCAGGAGCATATATATTTTTTAATTCTATGTATTTGCATAATTTTCAAAGTTCCCCTTGTTATTTTCCAGTTTTATTTCTTGATGGTCAGAGAAGAAGCTTGATGTAATTTCAATTTATTTGAATGTTTTAAGACTTGTTTTATGACCTAACATATATTCTATCCTTGAGAATGATCCATGTGCTAGGTAAAATAAGGTGCATTCTCCAGTCCTTGGAAGAAGTGTTTTGTAAATGTCTGTTAGATCCATTTGGTCTATAACGTACACTAAGTGTGATGTTTCTTTGTTGATTTTATGTCTGGAAGAACTGTCCAATGCTGAAAGTAGGGTGTTGAAGCCTCCAGCCATTATGGTGTTGGGACCTATCTCTCTCATTAGTTCTAATAATATTTCGTTTATATACCTTGGTGCTCCAGGGTTGGGTGCACATATATGTAAAGTTGTTATATCCTCTTGCTGAACTGATCCCTTCATTATTACATAGTGACTTTTTTTCCTCTTACATTTTTTGTCTTGAAATCTATTTTGTTTGCTATGAATGTAGCTAATCCTGCTTCTTTTTGGTTCCATTGGCATGGAGTATCTTTTTCCATCCCTTTATTTTCAGTAGATGTGTGTCTTTAGAGGTGAAGTGTGTTTCTGACAGGCAAAGGTCAATGTGTCTTGTTTTTTCATACACTCAGCCAGTCTGTGTCTTTTAATTGAAGAGTTTAGCCCATTTACATTCAATGTTACTACTGATAAGTAAGAACTTACTCCTGTCATTTTGATTTTTATGTTCAGATGGTTTTGTGGTCTTCTTTCTTTCTTTCCTTCCTGTCTGTTTTTAGTGAGGATGATTTTTCTGTGGGTATATGATTTAGTTCCTTGCCTTTTATTTTTTGTGTATACATTGCATGTTCTTTGGTTTGAGGTTACCATGAGGCTTGCAAATAATATGTTATAAACCATTATTTTTAATCTGATATTTACTTAAGACTATTTGCGTAAACAAACAGCAAAGAAAAATAAAACTAATAAAGCTGCACCTTAAGTTCATCCCACTGCTTTTTAATTTTTTGTTATTTCTCTTTGTATCTTATTATGTTGACTATGTCTTGAAAAGTTGTGCTTTTTATTTTTGATTGGTTTGTCCTTTAGGCTTTCTATTAGAATAAGAGTAGTTTACACACTACAATTACTTTGTTATAATATATTTTGTTTTTCTGTGTTCTTACAATGACCGCTGAGTTTTGTACTTTCAGTTGATTACTTATTGTTCAGTACCATCCTTTTCTTTCTGATTGAAATACTCCTCGTAACATTTCTTGTAGGACAGGGCTGGTGTTGATGAAATCCCTCAGCTTTCCTTACTCTGGGACCATTTTTTTTCCTCCTTCATGTTTGAAGGATTTTTTTTTTTTTTTTCAGATATATTATTCTAAGGTAAAAGAGCTTTTTTTCTTTCAGCACTTTAAATATGTCATGCCACTGTCTCCTGGCCTGTAAGGTTTCCACTGAAAAGTCTGCTGCCAGACATATTGGAGCTCCATTGAATGTTATTTTTTTCTCTTATCTTGCAGCTTTAGGAGCCCTTCTTTATCCTTGGTTTTTGGGAGTTTTATTATTGAATGACTTGAAGTAGTCTTCTTTGAGTTAAGTCTGCTTGTTGTTCTATAACATTCTTGTACTTGGATATTTGTATCTTTCTCTAGGTTTGGGAAGTTCTCTATTATGATCTCTTTGAAGAAACTTTCTACTCATGTGTTTCTATACCTCTTCATTAAGGCCAATAACTCTTAGATTTGTCCTTTTGAAGCCATTTTCTAGATTCCTTCATTGCTTTCTACTCGGTTTTTCTTTAGTCTTTTTTGACTGTATATTTTCAAATAGCCTGTCTTCAAGCTTATTTTTTCTATCTTCTGCTTGATTGATTCTGCTATTAACAGAGTTTGAGAGATTCTGTAGTCTATCACTTGCATTTTTCAGCTCCAGAATTTCTGCTTGATTCATTTTAATTATTTGAAACTTGTTGCTAACTTATCTGATAGAATTCTGAATTCTTCTCTGTGTTACATTGAATTTCTTTGAGTTTTATCAACCCACCTATTTTTTTTTTTTTTTGAGTCATAGTTTCACTTTTGTTGCCCATGCTGGACTGCAATAGCGTGATCTCGGCTCCCTGCAGTCTGAGCCTCCTGGGTTCAAGCAATTCTCTGGCCTCAGCCTCCCCAGTAGCTGGGATTATAGGCATGCACCACCACACCTAGTTAATTTTCTATTTTTAGTGGAGATGGGGTTTCACCATGTTGGTCAGGCTGGTCTTGAACTCCTGACCTCAGGTGATCCAGCTGTCTTGGCCTCCCAAAGTGCTGGAATTACAGGCATGACCCAGTTATTCTGAATTTTCTGTCTGAAAGGTCACATATCTGTTTCTCCAGAATTGGTTCCTGTGGCTTATTTACTTCATTTGGTGAGGTTATGTTTTCCTAGATGTTGTTGTTACTAGTAGATATTCTTCAGTGTCTGGTCATTGAAGAGTTAGGTATTTATTGTAGTCTTCACTGTCTGGGCTTGTTTGTGACCGTCCTTTTTGAGAATATTTTCCAGCTATTTGCAAATACTTGGGGGGTTTTGTTTTAAACTGTATCTGCTTTAGGGGTCCCCCATGCCTAGTAATGCTGCAGTTCTTGCATAGTTCTGGAGGTACCACCTTGACGGTTTCAGAAAAGATCCAGGAGAAGTCTCTGAGTTATAAGGCAGAGACTTCTGTTCTCTTCCCCTACTTTCTCCCACACAAAGTGTGTGTCTCTTTCTCCATGTTCTGAGCCACCTAAAGCTGGGGGTAGAGTGACACAGACACTCTTGTATCCACCAACACTATGACTGTGCTGGGTCAGACCTGAAGCCAGCACAGGGCTACGTCTTGCCAAAGCCCTGCTATAACCACTCCCTGGCTACTGTCTATATTTTCTCAAAGCCCTGAGGCTCTATATTCAGCAGGTGGCAAAGCTAGCCATGCCTGTGTCCTTCCTTTCAGGGCAGTGAGTTCCCTCAGGTGGGTTCAGAGGTGTCATCCAGGAGTCAGAGATTAGAATTAAAGACCTGGTGTACTATTGTATTGCAGCTGAGCTGGCACTCAAACCACAAGAAGCAGTTCTTCCCACACTTTCCTCTCTTTTTCAAAGGCAGGGCAGCCTCACCGTGTAGCCACCCCTACTACAGGCCATGGAGAGTACTGCAACACTACCACTGATGCTCCCATAAGTCCCCAGGGTTCTTGAGTCAGCTGGTGGTTCTTGAGAATGCTGCCAGGCCTGGGACTCACCCTTCAGGGCAGTGGGTACCTGTCTGGTCACAGGCAGGTCCAGAATTGCTGTCAAACGGTCAAGTCCTGGAACTCAGGACCCCAAAAGCCCACTTGTTACTCTGTTGCCCTCTTACCATGCTGGTACCTGAAACCAGTATGTCTCAGAGGTTCACCCAAGGTCCTTGATGCAGTACCTGGGTATCGCTGCTGTTTATTCAAGAACCAAGGGCTATTCAGTTGGCCGGTGATGAATGCTGCCAGGGCTTGGTCATTTCTTTCAAGGCAGCAGGTTTCTTTCTGGCCCAGGGTGTGTCTAGAAATGTTGTTTAGGAGCTAGTGCCTGGAGCAGGGGCTTCACAACCCTGACCAGTGCCCTGTCCTGCTGTGGTTGAGCTGGTATTCAAGATGCAAGAAAACAAAAAAAAATGATCCTCACTATTCCATCTCCTCTCCTCAAGCGGAAGGAAGGATTCTTTTATGGAGCTGCTAGCTGTGCGGTCTGGGGCTAGAGAGGGGTGATGCCAGCACTCCCTTGGCTGCCCCAGCTGGTATCTCGGTAGGTCATGTGCACCCCTCCACAGCCCCGCTGATTACTGGGATGGGAAATTTCCTTCTGGCTAGAGGTGGTTTAAATGTCCCCTTCCCAGGTGGGAGTCAGCTGAGTTTGGACTGGTTTTCCTTTCTCCTGTAAGAGACAGCGCTGAGTTCAGTGTTGAATGATGAATTTCAGGAAATTATAATGCAAAATGGAAGTGTTATAAAGCTGATAATAGACACACTCTCCTAAAAATGATCTCACCACATCACACCTAACCCCTTCTCACCACCTTGCAGTTCTCATTCCATGGAAAAAAGCTCCTCAAACTTAGTGTTTTACTTTCCTTTTTCCCAAGTCATGGCAATTTTGAATATTCACAATTGGCAGGTATCAACACATTTCTAAAGCATACTTATCTTGATTAAAGACTGTTGAGGTCATTGAAACAGTAACATAAATATTTAAGATGCATTGAAAATTTTGTTTTAAAATTGGCTTTTCAATCACTTCATTATAAGCAATGCTTTCCTGCTGTTTATTTACTTCTACATCTCCTATCTTCTTTTGTATTGTGCTTTGTATTTTAAAGAACATTTACTCTTTATAAAGCATATATTTCTAACCTTGGAAAATATAAAATGGAAAGGGGATGTGAATACCTTTGATATGTACATTCAGCAGAACAATGTGCTGCCGGGTACAGTTGCATGAACATATACACATCTCCGCTTTCTGTTAGATAAAATTTTAAGCAGAAAATTTTCTTTAGGAATCAGTTATCCCCCCGGACTTATGTACAATGTCTGGCTAACTAACTGTCAACCTGTGGGTCTGTCCACCAACCCTACAGGACCTCATATCCCTCCCTTCTCAAATGCCTACTTCTTCCCTTCCCTTCCTCCCCACCATCAGAAAACAGACAGATACACAGTCATCAGCTTCTCAAACTTGATTTTATTGTAATCATCACCATTGGTGGTGAGGATTTGTCCAATGTGGTTTCTCCATGTTTGACTAGTTCTCCTCACCCTCCTGTGAAGATCCTTCAGATAAGCCTGGGTCTTCGTCCTCCATTGAATATCCTTCAGCTGAGTCTAGGTCTTTATCCTCCTGTGCATATCCTTCAGATGGGTCTAGGTCTTCATCCTCCTGTGAATATCCTTCATATAAGCCTAGGTCTTCATACTCTTGTGAAAATCCTTCAGGTAAGTCTAGGTCTTCATCCTCCTGTGAATATCCTTCAGCTGAGTCTAGGTCTTCATCCTCATGTGAAGATCTTTCAGATAAGTCTAGGTCTTCGTCCTCTTGTGCAGATCCTTCAGATAAACCTAGGTCTTCATCCTCCTGTGAAGATCCTTCGGGTAAGTCTAGGTCTTCATCCTCCTCTGAAGATCCTTCAAGTAAGTCTAGTTCCTCATCCTGCTTTGAAGATCCTTCAGGTAAGTCTAGGTCTTCATCCTCCTGTGAAGATCCTTCAAGTAATTCTAGTTCCTCATCCTGCTTTGAAAATTCTTCAGATGAATCTAGGTCTTCATCCTCCTGTGAAGATCCTTCAGCTGAGTCTAGGTCTTCGTCCTCCTCCTCTTGGACTGGATTGATGGAGTTCTCTCGGGACTGGTCATTCTCCAGTTGATTTGAATTTATTTTCTTAACCTTCCTGTAGCAAAACACTAATACTGTTGGATATTCTGATGTTTTCATCTTTTTCAAACTCGGTTCAGGGGCTAAGTCCCTGTTTGGTGTCTCCTGCATGTGTTAAGAAAACAGGGAGAGGCCAGAAAGACATTATTTTGGGTGAATAGGATAGAGACTGGATAGCAAGGGGGTCTTTATGAGAAGGAATGCAGGTTGAAGAAGGGGTTTGTGCCAGAGAAGAACAAGGTGGAATCATAGGGTAGGGATCTATGGGGAAGAAGAAAAGGAGCATGGGTAGGGTCACCTGTTAGTCCAAACTGCACCATTTTGTAAGCTCCCTGATATTTTGCAGACCTTGGTCAAAGTGAAACATTCCATGGGGGTTCAGGCCGGGAGAAACATCCTGCTTAACCACCTGACCACAAGGAGGACAAAGGCTCAACTAAAGAAACATCCCTATCATATCTTGCTTGGCAAAGTTCTAAGGAACACCACAATGATATTCCACCAGAAAAAGGGCCACACCACCTGATCATAAGAACATCTTATCAATATCCTGCCGGGCAGCAAGCCATACTGCCCAGATCCCTCCCACCCATACCTGTAAGGACCCCAGGCTGTAAGCAGTGGTGGGATCTGGCATGAAGCTGGTCCCCCACTTCCACAGTTGTCTGCAATATTCCTGTCCTGTTGTTTGGGCTGCCCCCTCTCTGTGTGCCTCTCTGTGTGTCTTTCTTTCATCCCCACCTTCTCTTCAAAACCTAACATTTTGGTGTCAAAACCTGGAATGGTGATTGGGTTCTAATGGGTAAGTTTTCTTTTGCAACCGGGAAAGCAGCAAGCAGCACAAACAAGACTGGGGCCTGCTTCCAGATCCTGAGTGATCTCCCTGTTCCTAGTCCGGTTCCCCTTATTCTCTAGTCTTCTCGAGCCCTGGGCTAACCTCCAGATATTGATCAAACTCTCCAGCTTTTTTTTCCCCCTTCCTTCCCCTTTCTGGGCAGCTGCAACAAGGATCACCCCCATTGCTGGACATCACATCCAACACTGAGCTTCAATTAGTGGGTGAGTGTCCCTCTTCCTCCTTTCTGGATTCCTTTCTATTTCTGCCTGTTCTCCAAAAAAAATCAAGTGCTGGGTGAGAGTTCTCCCCAGTCACCAGGTGACTGCAGCCTCCCTTTTCAGGGGACAGCCTCAGAACGCTTGCCACTCTGGCCGCTCCGGCCTCTGGGGAGCATAAATAGTACGGGGCTGCCCCGACTCTCCAGGTCCCTTCTCCCAGGAGGAATCAAGTACTCACTTTCCTCTGGGGTATTCACTTCTCTCTGGAGTGCTCGCTCCCCGCTGGGGTATTCACTGCCTTCCAGGGTACTCACTTTCCTCAGCGGTATTCACTCCTATCCAGAGTATACACTCCCCTCTTCCATAAAACAGAACATTCAACTTCCAAATTCAACATAATCTTAAAAACTTTCTCCAACACAATGGTAAGTGATCTGAAGTGCTTTGCTTATCTTCTTTCATGCCTCACTCTCTCTCTCTGCCAATCTTATTCACCTTTTCAAATATTCCTCCTCAAGGAGAAACCCCCCAAAACGCCTCCTCCTACAGACAAGGCTTCCTCCTCTGAATTTCAACCTGGCCAACACACCCTTTCCTCTGCCTCCTGCCCACCACCAATCCCTCCACCTTCTCCTTCGGATCCGGCTCCTCCACCCCCTTATTGTCGCCCTCCATCCCCCTTCCTTCTCCACCTCAAACCAGGTCTCACGCCCAGCCCTCTTTTGCCGAAAACCAGGCACGTGTCCAAAGGTCTTCCAAAGTCCTTCCCTTGCAGGAGGTCGCGAGGGCTGAAGGCATAATCTGAATTCAAGTTCCCTTCTCTCTAGCTGACTTCTCCCATAGTGAAAAGAGACTTGGCTCCTTTTCAATGGATCCTACCTCCTTCCACAAGGAATTTCTCTACTTCTCTAAGTCTTATGGCCTTACCTGCCATGACATATATGTCATCCTCTCCTCTACCCTCACCTTGGAGGACAGGGAACACATCTTTATTGGCACCCAGGCCCATGAGAACACCCTCCACCAACAAGATGCTTCTCATAACCCAATAGGAACCCTAGCTGTCCCCAGAACTGACCCCAATTGGAATTTTCAGGCGACTTCCGTAGACAGACAGAAACCGGGCCATACAATATCATGCCTTCTAGCTGGCATAAATAAAGCTGCCCCTGCTCCTTTCATCTCCCGCCTTTCAAAGGTCGCAACTAAATAGACCACCTTAAGCCCTAATACCAATAAGGGCAAAATCGACCTCCATTTACACTTTATCTCCCGGTCAGCCCCAGACATTTGAAAAAAACTTTAAAAACTGGAGGATGGCTCTCAAACCTCCCAAAGAGACTTAATCAAAGTGGCCTTTAAGGTCTTTAAGAATAGAGAGGAAGAACTAAAAACCCCAAACCTAAAAAGGGACCAGGCTAAATACCACATGCTGATAGCTGCCACTCAACAGGGTTCCCAAGGCATACAGAATTCCTCAACTTGGCAATGGTCAACTCCAGGAGCCTGTTGTAAGTGCGTCCAACATGGACACTGGGAAAAAGTCTACCCAATCCCAGGACACTCTGGAAACCTTGCCCCATCTGTGGTATCAAGCAACACTGGAAGTCAGACTGTGCTCAGTAAAACTCTTCATCCTGCTTCACCACCTGTACCTGAAGTCTGATGGGGCCTGGAGTCCACCGCCCCCACCGCCATCACCACCACAGAACCCAGGGTAATGCTATCAGTCTCTGGTAAGCCCATGTCTTTCCTATTGGATACTCAATAGGACAACTAGTTACTCAGTTTTACCAGAATATTCTGGACCCTTTTTCAGTTCTTCGATCTCTATTGTGAGAATCAATGGAATCGCCTCTAGGCACAAACAGACTGGTCCTTTAATTAATTAATTGATTAATTTATTTATTTTGAGACAGAGTTTTGCTCTGTCGCCCAGGCTGGAGTGCAGTGGCGCGATCTCTGCTCACTGCTAGCTCTGCCTCCCAGGTTCACACCATTCTCCTGCCTCAGCCTCCCAAGTAGCTGGGACTACAGGCGCCCGCCACCATGCCTGGCTAATTTTTTTTTTTTTTTTTTTGTATTTTTAGTAGAGATGGGGTTTCACCATGTTAGCCAGAATGGTCTCAATCTCCTGACGTCATGATCTGCCCACCTCAGCCTCCCAAAGTGCTGGGTTTACAGGTGTGAGCCACCGCGCCCAGCCCCCAGACTGGTCCTTTATTATACAACCTATTCAACACCCCTCTTCACCCACTGTTTCCTGGTTATTCCTCAATCCCCTACATGTATCTTGGGGTGGGACATATTAAGTCAATCCCAGGTCTCCATGCAATGTGGCTCCTACAATTCTACAACTTTTATTTTACTCTGACACCTAAATGCTTCCCTCTTCTCCCACTCATCCTCATTATCTACCCTGTTACCTTCTGTTAATTCTGAAGTTTGGAATGTTTCTAAACCCACAATAGCCACACATCACATCCCAGTTAAAATAACTCTTCAAAACCCCTCCATTTTCCTTCATCAGTCTTAACATATCCTTAATCCAGCCTTGCTTAGGGGCCTAAAACCTATTATCTGTAAATTTTGCAAGCTCAAATTCTCAAGCCTGTCAACTCTCACCACAACACCCCTTTTCTGGCTTTCCAAAAGACAGACAAGACTTACTCCTTTGTCCAGGATCTCCAAGTTGTTAACCAGGCAGTGGTACCAATCCATCTGGTGGTCTGCAACCCATATACTCTACTCTCCCATATTCCTACATCTACCACACACTCCTCTGTGTTGGAGCTAAAAGATGCCTATTTCACTATTCCCTTAAACCCAGCTTACCAAAGTCTCTTTGTTTTAACTTAGTCAAATCCTAGTACTCACATGTCCACCCAACTAACATGGATTATACTCCCACAGGGGTTCCGGGATAGCCCCCACCTATTCAGACAGGCCCTCATCAAGGACCTAGCTGAACTTCCTGTTTTTCCTAGTGCCCTCCTCCGATACGTCAATGACCTCCTTCTCTGTAGCCCCTTCCTTAACCTGTCCATTCAACACAACACTCAGGTTTTAAACTTCCTCCATAATCGAGGATATTGGGCCTAACCCACAAAATCTCAGGTAGCACAAACATGGGTTTGTCCTAACCCCTAATTCTCGAACCATCCCAACCCAATGAAAGGAGCTAATTTGGGACATGCCCCTTCCCCACACAAAAAAAAGGACCTCCTCTCCTTCTTGGGCCTTGTGGGATACTTCTGGCTGTGAATTCCCAACTTTGACTTGCTGGCCAAGGCGCTCTACATAGCCTCTCATGGGCTTATCCTAAAACCCCCAAACCCAGCTTATCCCATAAATTCCCACAAAAACAAAACTAAACTAAACTACACTAAAAAATGCCCTTTTAATTGCACTGGCACTGGGACTGCCCAATCCCAAGCCCTGTACTTTGTATGTATATTCCGACCAAGGCCTTGCTCTTGGACTACTCTGCCAAACATACGGCGACGCCGCACGAGCCATTGCACATCTCTCAAAACAACTGGACTCTGTCATCCAAGGCTGGTCACTCAGACTAAAAATCTTGGGTGTGGCCACATCGCTGGCCTTAGAGGCACGGAAACTCCCTCTCTAGCAACACATTACTATTGCATCTTCCCATTACCCACAGGACCTCATAAACCATCAATTTCTTCTATCCCTCCCACCATCCCACTTTCAGCAGGTACATGCCTTATTCATAGGTAACCCTCTGATCACCTTCCAGAGATATAAAACTCTCAACTCAGCCACCCTCCTTTCTGTAAACACTTCCGACTCTAAGCTCTCTCTCTCCTGTCTGGACCTCTTAGACTCCCTCTCCTCCCACTTCGAACACATTTCAGGTGCCCTTTTGCAGGGAACACATACCTGGTTAATTAATGGAAGCTCTTTTAGGGACCCATGTCCAGCAGCTGGCTATGCCATCATAGCTGAAAATAAACTCCTAGAATCCAGTGCTCTCCCACCCCATGCTACCTCTCAACAGGCAAAGCTAGTTGCCCTAACCAGGACCCTCACTCTAGCAAAAGCAAAGAGGGTCAACATTTACACCAATTCCAAATATGCATACCATGTCCTACACTCTCATGCCTTAATCTGGCAGGAACAGGGTTTCCTAACTACAAAAGGAACCCCCATAAGAAATGGCAAACTTATACATAAGCTGCTGGGGGTGGATAAACTACCTCTGATGGCCACCATTATCCATTGCAAGGGACACCGGAAGGCTACAGATGCCATAACCGAGAATTCAGCAGCCTGGCAGGCAGCCCTTAAAACCCCATCGTTATTGCTCATTTTTCCCAGCATACACCCCGTATATACCCAGGAGGAACAAATCCCAATTGCCAGGGCTGGTGTCATTCAGGAAAAAATGGTTCTACCTCAATGATAAAGTGTCTTGCCCAAGTTGAAAAAACCTTCTGTACTTTTATATGTGCACAACCATTTCCATGCTGGTTACTGCCCCTACTCCAGCTTTTAAAAACTTATATACATTCTTCCACCATAGCTGCCCATCTCAAACATATTACTAAGGCATGCTCCCTTTGCACTCAAACTTCCCCTCAGGAAGCTATCAAACCACCTCCTTTCCAACCACAAGGCCTGAGGACACTTACCAGGGCAGGACTAGCAAATCAACATCACTCACATGCCCCCCATAAAATGATTCCTCTACATTCTGACAATAGTAGATACATTTTTCTGGATGGATAAAAGCTTTTCCTACCACCACCAAAAAGGCACACACCATCGCTTCTATTCTCTCCACTCATATTATCCACCGGTTTAAACTCCCGTTTTGCATCCAGTCAGACAATGGGCCAATTTGTTTCACAGTTTAACCAACAGCTGATAAAGGCTCTAAACATTAAATAGGCTTTGCATATTCCTTACCACTCCCAATCTTCAGGAAAAATTGTATAAAAAACAACAACTAACCAAACTCTCCCTAAAGGTTAAAATGGCCTGGACTTCACTTCTCCCACTGTTCCTCATGAGTTTATGAGTCATTTCCCAAAAGCCCCTCAGCCTAAGCCCATTTAAGCTCATGTACAAATGCCCCTTTATCCTCCAGGATCTCCCTGTATTCTCTCCCCCTTCTATATGGAATACTTGGCCGGCGTTACACCTCACCCAACACCTAATGAGACAGTATGCAAATGCTTACTGACCCAGCCTAAACGTCCATCCTGAAAACACTCCTCCCTGTCCCTACAGCCAGGGGACTGGGTCTGAATCACAGACTCCTCCTCCTCCCCTCTCCAACCTAAGTGGATGAGTCCTCACCAGGTTATCCTAACTACTCTGACTGGGGCAAAGCTAACATCCTTTCCACACTGAATGCACCATTCCAAACTAAAAAGAGCACCAGATCCACATGTAGAAATTTGCTCACCCCCAAATTATTCTCCTTCCCTCACAGGACCAACCTCACTGTACTTAACAAGAATTCCAGAAGTTGCCAGTACAAATGCCCTAGTCCATAACACTCTCCGTCGCCAATTTCCAATATTTTACCTCCTACTTTATTTCAGATCTTTCCTGGTTTCCCTTCCCCATGTCCCTGAATAGTCCTGCCAGTGTCTCACACTAATGCAGGAGGTATGACTGCAGGGCACCTTCCAAAATTTCACTCCTACTCAAATCTCCTTTTTCTCCTTTGTCCTCTTTGTCTGTGGGATATTCTAAGTGCCCACCCTGAATGTCTAACAATTGAGCCCCCTTCATCAGCCTCACACATTGCCCGTTAAATCAGTCACACTCCCCTTTTACTTCCAACTGTTAAACTTGTTTGTCCACACAAATCCATTAGTTCACAGCGCTTCCTGTCAACCTGGCCACATAAACCTGGTCCAAAATAAACCTGCATCTCACCCAATTGACCAATTCATTCCCCAACCTGTTTATAATCTTGCTCGGCTAAACACCTTTTCCCCCCAATCCATCAAATCCACCCACACCGTCACACACAGGGCTGTCACCCTCCTACGCCTCATAGCCTCTTAACTGAAGATGTTACCAGTCAGATTTCATAAAACACCCCCTACCAACCCCTCCCACACCTCCTACCAACCCCTCCCCTCTCTGACAGCGCCGCTCTCCATGTATCCAACTCAAAGGTGCTCCCTGGAAAAAATCCACAAACAATTCCTTCAACTGCAACCTGTATCCTTCTGCCCTGTCAGGACCACAGTGGCTAATAGTTACAAAAACCCATTTCCCCCTCTCTCTCCAAAACCACACAGCCTTCACCTCCTCCCCCACCACCATTTCCTATCCGGCCCTCAGAGGGGCTACCCTTGCTGGCAGCTATTCAACTTGGAAAAATATAAAAGTTAAAACAAAGGGTTTGTGCAGAATTCAACCCCCACCTTCTCATGGCTTGCCACCATAACCTACAACTTTTGTCCGTCCACCCCCAGTGTCTTCTTCCTTTATGGCACAAACTCTTATCTCTGCCTACTGGCCAATTGGTCAGGAACATGCACCCTGGTGTTTCAGTCTAGACATTGACATTTTGCCTAACAAGCAGACCATCCAGGTTCCTTTAGTAGCTTCTGTCTCATCTTCCTCCACACACACTAAGCAGGCTCTACATCTCATTCTAGTGTTAGCAGAACTAAACATCTCTGCTGCACTCAGCACTGGGATAGCAGGTGGCCCCTTTCTTAGGGCCCTTAATCTTCCTCCTCCTGATACTACAATTGGCCCAGGTATACTCACCTTCATATCCTGCTTTATCTCCCGAAGGCCAAACTCCCTCGTCCACGCAGCCACCCAGCAACACATGGATACCTTCCTTCTCCTCTGCCAAGTCCAGTACCAGTGCCCCCAGGAATACCACTCTGAAGTCCAACACCCACTGCTTCAAAACCCAAACCCTGATTACAGCTCCCCTATTCAGCAGGAGGCAGCCAGATACTCAACAACGCCCCTCTTCCTTTTATACTAAAGTAGAAGGCAAAGAATGCGAGTCCAAACCACCATTTAGTAAGCCCCCTGCTATTTTGCAGACCTTGGTCAAAGTGAAACATTCCATGGGGGTTTGGGCTGGGAGAAAAATCTTACCTAATCATCGTAACACAAGGCGGACAAAGGCCCAACTAAAGAAATTTTCCTATCATATCTTGCTGGGCGAAGTTCCCAGAAACACCATAATGGTATCCCACTGGAAAAAGGGCCAAACAGCCTGATCATAAAACCATCTTATCAATATCCTGCCAGGCAGGAAGCCATACTGCCCAGGCCCCTCCCACCTATACCTACAAGCACCCCAGCCTGTAAGCAGCGGTGGGCTCTCGCATTAAGCGGGTCCCCCACTTCCACAGGTGTCTGCAGTATTCCTGTGTTGCTGTTTGAGCCACCCCCTCTCAGTGTGTCTTTCTTTCACCCTCACCTTCCCTTCAAAACCTAACAATCTTACCTCATCATTTTTGTTGTTGGATTCACAGGGGCTCTTTCTCTTCTCCCCATTGGTGCTTGAAGTTGGCTGTTCCATGATTGTGGTTGGTTGTAGAATGTCTATAGTAGGCTCTTGTAGAGTCCAGACTTCCACAGCTATATTGAAGCTTCCCAGGGGAATGTCCCAGAGCTCTTGCCCTCCCTATATATACCCTCCTGGTGACAAGGCAAAGCCACGCCCTTGAGCTTTGTTTGATCATACAGGCAGCGTCCCAGCCAATGGCAGTCCTAGGGTGGCTTTGGCATCACAAAGCACCACTGCTGCCCACTCCCTGGGCTTGCGGGGGAGGGGAAAGTGGTGTAGAGGAAACCAAATGCTGTTGTTGTTTCGGCATCCCCTGAAGACGATGCATCCCAAACGGATCTGCCGCCGCTCCTCATTTCTCCATGTTTAATGTTCATGGTTCACATGGAAGCGAGAGGATGGTTCCTTCAAGCCCTTCCCCACAGCCATTCCTAGTAAGTGATTCATTCTTTTGTCTTCCAGCACCCACCATGCCCTAGTATTTTACATGTCTCACCTCAAATCCCTCCAAGCTAGTGTGGCTACATTTAGTTATTAATTACTAGTTACATTTAATTATTATTAATTAATAATAATAATAAATTATCCCATTTCCCTCCTATAGTTCCTTCATATGCACCTTGAAGACGATTTACTTTTAGGCTACTGCCAGGCAAATTTCAACCCATGTTCTTTTGCGCAATGTCCATGTAGAATCTGAAACAATGGCCTTCAGTCTGTCAGAACTTTAGTGAATAAACATTCTTTACCGTGTATCCTAGTCTTGTTTCAAATGAGGGGTGTATGTTCATAGTAAATGTAGTCTCTCAACATGAATTCTGCCAGTATGTGGGTGGGGGAAGGAGTGGATATTCAAGTGCTGGAAGTTGTTCTCAGTGTTTACATTCAGGATACTACAATCTAAGATCAACATGTGCACCAGTGTGGGCATAGTTAAGCTTTGTACTGGAGGTCGTGTCCAGTGCCAAAAAAAAAAAAAAAAGCATTCAGATTGGAAGGGAGAAGTAAAAGGATCTTTTGTCAAAGACTACCTGAGAGTATATGTAGAAAAGTCAATCTAAAAAAATGCTTCTACAATAATTGAGGTTAGCAACATTGCAGAGTGAGAGATCAACATATACATCAATTGTATGTTTATATATTAAAAGTTATATATTAGAAGAGACAGTGTTTCAGCCAGTGGTAGTCCTAGGGTGGACTGGAAGTTAATTTCAACAACTGAAAGTTGAAACTAAGAACAATTGCAATTTAAAATATCACTAAAAGTAGTAAGGCTCAGGGACAAATCTGAACAAAGATGTAAGTGACTTGTACGCTGAAAACTACAAAAAAATTGCAAAGATAAATTAATGGCATAGAAAAATTAAAATATATTCTTTGATTTTTGGTTAGATGATTAATATTGTAAGATGGCAGTTATTTCCAAATTCATCTATAGTTTCAACTTAATTCTAACCAAAATTCTAAAATAGCTTTTTAATAGAAATTGACAAGATAATTACAACATTCATATGGAAATGTAATGTGCCTAGAATAGCCAAAAGACAAGTGTTGAATCTTAAAAAGCTCTGGATTGTATCAATGTCAGTGTTCTAGTTTTGATAGTGTAATGTGGTAGTGTACTGAAGAGTGTACTATTGGGAGAGACTGGTTGAAAGGTACATAAGGACTCCATGTATATATCTTTGAAACTTCTAATGAACTTATAATTGTTTCAAAATAAAAAGCTAAAGATATTTTAAAAGACAATCAGAGAGAGGACCAAATATAGAGAAGGCGTGGCCCTAGGTTCCTCCCACAGGTTGACACTTGTCTCATCCTCTATAGGAAATAACAAAACTTGATAATGGAAAATAAATTTAAAAAACAAAACACAAGAGAAACAGACCCTGGAATTTTGTTTCAGTGTTCATCAAGGTCACATATCTTTACTTCATACACCATAAAATCAAGAGAGGCCTAGCAAAATACGCTGCTGACCTCCAGACACAACCAATTTATTGCATTCCCATAACGGTCATCTAAACACAAATGAACCAAAAGAAGATTGGTATTAACGTACATAATTTTTTTAGCAAACCTCAGATGTTGTCAAGAGTTCAACAGTTCCATGTATTAAATGCTCACAAGCTAACTTCGAATAATTTTTTGTACTCTTGTCTGCAATTAACAGTGAGAATAACACCCTGTCATGTCATGTTATAGAAAAAACAAAACAAAACAAAACACCAAAAGGCCACATCAAATAGAGTAGGTCAGAAACTGATTACAATTGCTGAAAATAACAGCTTTCAATTACTTTATTACCTTTTAAAATTGTTTTCTGAATTTGTTTACCAAAAAATGTTTTGATGGGTATATCACTATCCAAGGAAAATTAATCCAAATGTTAGGAAAACATTTAGTGCATATTTCTATTGTAAGATTACAACTGACTTTATAAAATAATTCCTATTTATCCTATTGAAAACCTTAGTGATTATGTTTTCAAGCAAAATGAATAATAAAAATGTAAAGGTCATCAGTGTACAATGAGTTCATTGTATTGAACTTTTTATTTCTGATGTGTTCAGTTTTCAAGAGTATTCTTCTTTATCATATCAGGTTGTGGAACATACTCAAAGTGACTCTCCCATGTCACACTGTAAATCAGAGATGCAACTAGGACAAGAAGCAGGGGAGTCCTGGGCACCCTTTTACTTCTTGTTTTTGGGCCTTTGTACAAGTGATATTATAAACTGACACTACTTTAGTTATAATAATAACCCTCAGCTACATTTTTTAATATTTTTTTTCACAATTTTTAGCTGTTTAAGGCAGGTTTAAACACCACATAAAGTACCAGATATAGGATAGGATCTGCTTGGGATTTGCCCCAATCTGTGGCCACAAAGAGCAAGCAATTAGAGGCCAACCATATGTTTTCCTCTGGAGCACAGATGGGTGAGGAGCAATCAACGAGAAAGAGCTGAGTATGGAAGAGGGATACAACCTGCTACTGGCTTCGCATGTGACTGAATGAGTGGCTTTGAAAAATACCAGCACCATTACCTCCACTGCAACTACTACTACCTCTACGCTACTACTAATATTACTACAAGCAATAGATTCCATACACCAAAAACTTACTATATGCCAGTCTCTGTTCTAAGCATATGGTTTCAAAGTCAAATAGGAAACAGATGGTGCATCCAAAATGGAGTAATTTGACCAATATTTATGTACAAAGAAACCATTTACAAACAAGTGGATGCAGGGAGACCATCAGAGATAGTGCTTGTTGCAGCTGCCATCACTACAGACCCAGAGGAATGAGAGCAGGGAGGAAGTGGTTACTAGAACCAGAAATAATCAATAGTCATGAGGAAATAGATATCTTGAGAAGAACAGTGACCTCTAATGAGATTTATCCAGCCCGAGATGACTCACAGGGATGGAGCCAGGAGAATAAGTCTACAGCCCTCACTCCCCTTCCTTCCTTGCACCTCTGACTGTCCTTGGAGCTCCCCATTAGCCAAACCCAGTGGACATCAGAGTCCAGGAGCCCATTGAGAGAATCCTTTCTAAATAGCCTCCTAGGACAGAGCAGGTGAAGAAGGGTGGTGAGTGAATCTGGAAAAGCAGAGGGAAGATGTTTAGCCGAGGTGCAATACTCACAACAGTCCCAGGAGGTAGATATCATCATGGGGGTCTGATTTACTGGAGAGGAAATTGAGGCCCAGGGAAGCTCAGTAACTCAGTAATTGTAAAACAGTGTTCAAACCTAGTTCAATCTGCCCTAAATCTCATATTCTTTCTGGGACTCTGGGTAAATTGCATACCTTCTGTAGGCTTCAGATCCCTCAGCTGTAGAATGAGTAAATTGGAACAACCAATGTCATTTAAAAAAAATATGCTATGATTCTGTAATCCTCACCTTTAAAGATACTATCATTCCTTTAAACTTTAGACAATATTATGATTCAAGCCAATCAGACTTACAACTCCACAGTGTAAAACTATGTGTGGTGGGCCTGTACTACCTTGAACTACCGTGGTTCCTCCTTCTGATTCCATTACCACTGGGAGAATATGAGTGTGGTGGGGCTATCCTGCCTTGAACTACCATGGTTCTTCCTTCTGATTCTATTACCACTGGGAAAATACTAGCACCTGAGAACAAAGCTGTTGGTTTAAGATGGGGTATTAGCCCAGAAATAGGATTCTTTAGACAGAAATAAGCTACGAAACAAAGACCAGCAAGTCTCTCAGCAACTCTAAAGAGGGACCACATTCTATCTCAAGCACTGGGATAGTCGTAGGGATATAAAGACCATGGTCTTCATTCTGTGCTCTTTGAAGAAAATTGTTCTACATGCCAACCCAAAACTATATTCCATATCTGGCATATTGAAGAAGTATTCTGAAGTAATCTCCAGCCTGACAGAAAATAAAACTGACTCCTGAAAATCAAACATTTTGAGTAGACAGAAATTGTCTACAGTGCTCAACATTTTAACTTTTTGTCTTTTTAATTTTTATTTTTAATTTTTGTGAGTACATAGTAGGTGCATATATTTATGGGGTACATGAGGTGTTTTGATACATGCATGCAATAAAGAATAATCCCGACATGAATTTATCCTTTATGTTACAAACAAACGAATAATATTCTTTTGGTTATTTTGAAATGTACAATTAAGTTACTATTGGCTGCAGTCACTCTGTCGTATTATCAAATAGTATGTCTTACTCACTCTTTCTATTTTTATACTCATAACTTTCTCCACCTTTCCCCCAACCCCTAAATACAGATTGCATCTTCTGGTCACCATCCTACTACTCTCTATGTACATTAGGTCAAATTGTTTTGTTATTTAGATCCTCCAAATAAATGCCAACATGTGATGCTTGTCTTTCTGTGCCTGGCTTGTTTCACTAAGCCTGATGATCTCCAGTCCCATCTATGTGGTTGCAAATGACAGGATCTCATTCTTTTTATGGCTGTATAGTACTCCACTGTGTATATGTACCCCATTTTTTCTTCATTTATCTATTGGTGGACATTTAGGTTGCTTCCAACTCTTAGCTATTGTGAACAGTGCTGCAACAAACATGAGAGTACAGATATGTTTTCAACATAATGAATTCCTTTCTTTTTGGTATATACCCAACAGTAGGTGTGTTGGATCACATGGTAGCTCTATTTAGGTTTTTGAGGAACCTTCA